ATCATGCTCATCCTTAGCAACTAGGCATAAATTAGTCATATCAATAGAATCTAAATGCACCATGTAAATGTTTCTTATTCTATGACCAACAAGCATAATCTGATTAGATGCAATGTCAATGAATTTACAACCATTAATTTCAAATAAGACATTGAATCCTTTATCGCATAATTGACTAATACTCAATAGATTATGCTTTAATCCATTCACATATAAAACATTCTTAATTTGTATGAAAGATGTATTACCTATTGTACCAATACCTTCAATGTGACCTTTTGAATTGTCTCCAAAAGTCACTTCTCCTCCATTTTTGGCGTTAAGCTCAATGAACCGGCTTTTGTCTCCGGTCATATGTCTTGAGCGTCCACTATCAAGGTACCATGAATTTGAATTTGTTTCCCGTGCCTTGTAGCAATGCTCCTTTCCCTACAAACATAGATTAATTTTTGATTTTTGGTACCCAAATTCTTTTGGGTCCATATTCATTAGTTTCCAAAATCCTAGTCCCCTTAGGTATCCATTTGTGTAGGATATTTTTATCTTCAGTAGTAATGAGTTCTTTAGGAACCCACATACTTCTAATGATTTTTCCATTAGAGGTTCTTTGGGGACCTCTATGATTGTAGTTTCTAAAACTTTTTCTAACAAAGTTGGATTTTGAATTTCCACCTTTTTCAAAATGTTTTGTTCCAACTTTATCAAAAGAAGTTTTAAGATCATCAATTTTCTTTTGATGATCATCATTGATCTTTGAAAGTAAATTTTGCAAATCTAAATTTTTCTTTTCAAACTCTTCTAGTTTGATTTGCAAATCTTTGATTTTACTTTCAAGATCGTTGTTGGTTTTGGATATGAGTTTGTTTTCATTTTTCAATTTTGAAACATCATTTTTATATTTTAAAAACAATTTCTTATAATCCGAAGCCAACCCATTGTATTCCTCAAATAACTCATCATAAGATAAATCATCAAAATCGGATGAGTTAAAGGTTACCTTAGAATCTTCCCCGAATGCCATCAAGCACAAGTTTGCTACTTCTTGTTCCTCTTCATCGGAACCTTCTTCATCGCTCCATGTAGCCACATGAGCCTTGTGCTTATTCTTTGATTGACCCTTTTTCTTCAATTGTGGGCAATCATATTTGACATGCCCCGGCTTTTTGCATTCATAGCAAATGATTGGGTCCTTCTCTTTTGGTTCATTTTTGAGGCCTTCGTTTCGTTTGAATTTTCTTCCTTGGTAAGGTCTCATCATTTTTCTGAACCGTTTGGCAAACAATGCCATTTCCTCGTCATCATCATCATTATTAGAATCACTCTCATCTTTTGTAGATTTGAGAGCAACTCCAATATTTTTCTTCTTCTCCTTTTCCTTTGGTGTCTCTTCAACTTTATCAAGGTCCACCTCATCTTCGAGCATCATCTCATGAGTGAGGAGTGAACCGATAAGTTCTTCAAGAGTTAAGGACGATAGGTCCTTAGACTCGATGATTGCCGTCTTCTTTGATTGCCATGATTTTGGGAGGGAGTAGACTAACTTCCTCACAAGCTTTTCATTTGAGATGATCTCTCCATATGATTTGAGACCATTGACAATCGTTGAAAATCTATCAGTCATAGCTTTGATGTCTTCATTTGGTTTCATCCTGAAATTTTCATAGCTATGCGTTAGAATACTAATTTTTGATTTCTTTACCTCATATGTACCTTCATGTGTGACTTGAAGCTTGTCCCATATTTCTTTGGCGGTTGTACACGATGAAACTCTTCCGTATTCATCTGGTCCAAGAGCACAAAAAATAATATGGATGGCTTTGGAGTTGAGCTGGAATATTCTTGTCTCTCCTTCACTCCACAACCTTGGATGAGTGATAGGCTTGATGTATCCTTCTTCTACGGCATTCCATGCTCCCATGTCACTTGCTTGAATGAAGTACATCATTCTATTCTTCCAATAGGCGTAATTAGCTCCATTGAAGAAAGGAGGCTTGTTGACGGGCATCGAATCAAGACCGGAGTCGAAGTTTGAAGCGGAGGCCATTGATGACTTTAATAATCGATATAACTCTTCCCGAATCGACTCAAGAGGCGATAAAACCTTCAAATGAGTTAGGCTCTGATGCCAATTGTTGAGTTAATCGATTGACGGAATCGGCCAAGAGGGGGGTGAATTGGCAATTAAAATTTTTGTGGAAGCTTTTGCAGAAAATTGAAAGTAATTGCACAGCGATTTACAGTGGTTCGACTTTCTCAAATAAAGTCTACGTCCACTACCTTAGCTATCCACACTAAGGATTTTCCAACAAATTCACTAATTTGTTCTTTCTTTTGAGGCCAAAGAGATAACCTTACAATTCCCTCAAGAGTATACCCCAACTCTTGAGAACACTCTTTTTCCCAAAGAGAAGATTACAAATTTGCAAACTTACAAGAAAACCTCACAAGGTAAGATGTTTGCACAATTCTAGAACAACGAAAAGAACACTCAAAGATGAATACAATTGAGCACAAAAAATGTTCTTGTAAGCAAAATGAATATTGAATGAAAATAGGCTTGAAATGCTCAAACTTGAGGTTTGATGCTTTCTCTTTGATTCTCTCTTGATTCTAGTTGCTTGATGTTTCTTGTTCTTGATCAATGGCTTCTAAGCTTGCTTAAATACACCTTGGATCACTTCTGAACGTTGGGGATGATTAGAGAAGATATTATAGCCGTTTTAGTGTGAAAACATTTAATAAAACAGCTTGGAGCGTGGGGGGAATCGGTTCCCCCTTGAAGGGAATCGGTTCCTAAGTGTAAAATTCAAACATTTCGACCGTTGTACAAGGGGGGAATCGGTACCCCCTTGGGGGGGATCGGTTCCCTCCGAGCATACTGGAATTCTCGGAGCAAAATTGTTTAGGGGGAATCGGTTCCTCCTATGGGGGAATCGGTTCCCTCCGAGCATTTTGGAAATCTCGGGGCCAAAACCATTTAGGGGGAATCGGTTCCTCCTATGGGGGGAATCGGTTCCCTCTGAGCAATCTGTAATTTTTGGCTTTGAATTGGTTCGAAATACTTTGTAAGATTATTTTGAAATTGTTTTATGATTAAAACTTAATTTTACACTTAAGTAAGGATTAAAAATGATTTTTGAAATATTTGGAGTAATGTTTTGATATTCGAATAGTTATATCGAATATACTTAGAAAATCATTTGGAAAATCTTAAAATCCATTTAACTTAATTTGTTATATCGAAATATCAAAATGTTTCAACACTTCCCCTTGAACTAGAAGGCATATCGATATTGAGATCGAAAAAACTCGCAGTCCAATGCCTCCCCCTGGATCTTGAAGCCATCGTGTCAAATGGAAAATGCACAGATTGTTGCGTCGATGACATCTCCATATTAAGGTCAAAGAAAATTGTAGATGAACGCCTTCCCCTAGAATTGGTCTCGATGTTGCCATATGGATTGTTCATAGACCTACATCGGTACAGATCATAAGGAGTTGCTGATAAATGTCTCCTCATTGAAGTTGATGGGTCGACACCATGATGCGAATTTCCCATTATGGCATTAAAATCATTACACATTACTGTAGTCGGGCTGTCAACTTGATCAACTTGTTCAGCCAACCCATAGTGGGAGCTTAATGAAAGACCTCGAACAACACGCACTTGAACAAACTTTGCATACATTTCAATATCGACATCTGAATAATTACTTTGAGAATCAACTATCATTTCAACATCATTATTGTTCGATAGTTCGAACGCTGTATAAGTTAATGACAACAATGATGTTGAAAATCTGTATTGCAACGACGACATTCTTCTACTACTTCCAACATGAACCTTCCTTGAAATCATCGTTATCAGCTCCTCAAGAGTTACGTTTATCTTGAATGATATTTTAACATAATCATTTGATACGAAAACAACGCCAATTTCATATTCTCGAATTTTTCCATCATAAAAAACAATAGCTGAAATTCGTGCCATTATTAGTGTTTGAAAGTGTGACAATTTTATATTTGCAAAAAAAAACAACTGAAAAAAACCTAATTAAATAAATAATATATGCACGAAAATATAACATATTTTTTTTACACATAAACGTAAATAATTTAATTTTATATTATTACCGTATCGGCAAAAATATTTCAACGTATGCTCTTGTTTTTCAATTATACAACCACAAAAATTAATTGAAAACAATTAATACAATATTTTTTTTAAATAATCATATATAATTATAAAAAATATTATAAAAAATTGTCGGATTTTTTTTACTGATTGAGATGATTATTGTAGTAGTTTCTAGGTTCAGAGGAATTTGTGAGTGAGTTTTAGGGGGAATGTGTATTTATAGCAGAGAGACGATGTTTTAAAGTCGAGAAATTCGGATAAATTATCCAAGGCGTTGCCCTTGCACCGCGCCTTGCATTATGCATGTGATAATTGCAAGGCGCGGCTCCTGCACTGCGCTATAGCTCTACGTGGCGTAAGACGCGCCCTAGGGGCCGCACTTTAGTCAAGTGAATCCAAGTCAGCATAAGGCGCGTTACAAGGAACGCACCTTACCTCACATGACGTCAAATCAACATAAAATACTATGCAGGAGGTGCGCTTTATTGCAAAAATGTTAGATATGTAAAAAAAAAAAGTTGAACAGGGTGTCTAAGACGTGGTAATATTAATGTGTCATGGTGATTTTTTTTTTTTTTTAAAAAAACGCCGACAATAGGCAAATAATGACGTGCTGGTTGACGCTCGAAAAAAAAACAGATATCGAGTTTACATTTTCAGCTCACAAAAGAAACACAAATCATAAAACGCGCTTCAAAATACTAACCGCTAAAACAATCGACGTCAGGGATCCGCGTCGATGCTTCTCCTCATCTCAACTCTCAATTATATCTTATCAACGGCTGTAATCCATAGTTAAGACACATCACGGATCACTATCCCTAACAACTTCTTCCATAAATACCCCCATCATACTCTGTTTGAATCTGTACACGAATTCATTCTCTAAAAGCAGCCTAAGCTATCAACACAGGTTCAAGATTTGAAGATGTCGGGAAGAGGAAAGGGAGGCAAGGGGTTGGGCAAGGGAGGAGCAAAGCGACATCGTAAGGTCCTCCGAGATAACATCCAGGGTATCACGAAGCCGGCTATTCGACGCTTAGCTCGTCGAGGAGGAGTGAAGCGTATCAGCGGTCTAATCTATGAGGAAACCCGTGGAGTTTTGAAGATCTTCCTGGAGAACGTGATTCGTGATGCGGTTACCTACACCGAGCATGCGAGGAGGAAGACTGTGACTGCCATGGATGTGGTCTATGCACTGAAGAGGCAGGGTAGGACTTTGTATGGGTTTGGTGGTTAGATGACTTGGGGAATTGGAATCTGGAGGGCATGAAGTCAGGTTATTAGTTGGGTCGGTTTGTTTCCTGTAGTGATCTGTAATCCCTGTTATGGAATGTAGATTTATTATGAAAAATGAAAGTTCATCTCGTTAGACTCTGAAATTATGGAATCTTGTTGAGCTTTCGTTTGGGTTCTTAAAATTTTAAATACTTTAAATCGAAATTTTCTAGCACCTCCAGTCTCTCTTTATATCGAGATATTATTGTGGCTTTCGAGAGTTGTATGATATAGGGATTCTTTCTGCGGATAATGTTATGTAGATTGAAGAGTTAACATGATCTGAAATCGTTACTATTCCGTGTTTTCCCTCTGTTTTAAATCTCACCGAAAGAATAAAACAGTTGAGGGGATGAATCTAGGAACCAGGTTCGGTGCAACCATAATACGATTTTTGAAGTCAAATCTAGTACAATAAGTTCTGCATATTTATGCCAAGCTTATTTCAATGCATACCAAAAATAATAATGTTAACAACTAACGGGTTTCGTAATAAACACTTTGATCTTTTTATCACTTCAATTAATAAGGACCTTAATATTTTTTAAGTAGTAAATTATTTGATAAGTATGTCTAAGTTTAAATTTTTGTGTATGCAAAAGTCTCAAGTTTGTCTCAAATTTAAATTTGTGTATGCAAATTATGTAAAAATAATTCATTAGAAAACTCATTTATTAAAACCAAATATATGAGAAGGATGAATCTGAATTAATATAAAATTTTAAAATCAGGAGTACAATAAAAAAAAATACTGTAACATTGGGCCTTTTCAAGTTTGTAGATTAGTAGAAGCAATTAAATCATAAGTATTTATATTCATTGGGCCGGACAAATATTTTTAAAATGGGATACAATCAACCACAAGTATTAAATTGAATTGAAAAGAAAAGGAGGAATCAATTTAGGGCATAAAAAATATAAATTAAATTGATTGAAAAGCTAAGTAAAAAAAACTAAATTAGACAAAAAGAAGTTCCAACTATAAAATTGGATCTAGAAATTAACTTGGGCATTAAAATACATGTTCATCCTATTTAAAACAAGTATTTTTCAGTAGAATGATGGAAAGAAAAGCAGCAATAAAGTTCACTTGAATTTTATCCACTAAAGATAGAAACTGAATTTATGGGAAAATGACCTGAAATTAAAAGTAGCTGAGATACAATTGTAATCACTCAGCTTTCTGCTTTGATGTTTTGGTTGGAGCAGCATAGCGCAACCCGGTTGTACACCTGCCAATGAATTTGAGAAGCTCGTCAATTAGAATGACCGGGAATGCAACAGCTATTACAAGGAGCCATTCGTTGAGGCTGAGGGGAACAATCCCAAATACTTGAGCAAGGAATGGCACGTAGAGGATCAAGAAGTGTAGGCCAAATGACACTGACATGGCTAAAAGGAGCCATGGATTCACCCAAGGAGGCATTGTCAACAAGCTTCCATCTTCAGAGAGTGCATTGAGTGAGTTGAACATTTCAATGGCAACCAAGACTGATAGGGAAAGTGTCGAGGCCTTGATTTTTCCCGTCTTAAAGTAATCACAGGGATCTCTATCGAATTTGAACTCCTGGTGACCTGCTGTGAATGGTGACACTGTGAAATTGTTCCAGGAGGAGCATTGATCCCAGTTGGAAAGTTGGGAGTAGGTAACAAGACTATGGCCGTCGCCACTCAGATCAATTCCCATGAAGGTGTTCTGAGTGTACCATATGATGAATACCCCGACCGTAGCTATCCCAACATACATCCCAATCACCTGCACCAATGAAGGAATTTGATAAATTCACGTTATGCAGTCAAGGACATGAAAAAGGAGCTTCCTACTGGTTTTGGTTCAACTAATAGGATCACGAAGTTACCAGGTAACGGAATAAGATCCAAACAGAAATTAATGAATCATCACTTCTTCTGGGAGGCTTCTTCATTATATCTTTGTCCGGAGGATTGAACCCTAGAGCGGTTGCTGGAGGTCCATCGGTAACAAGATTAACCCAGAGAAGCTGAACAGGGATCATGCCTTCCGGAATACCCAAAGCAGCTGTCAAAAATATAGAAACAACCTCACCAATATTGGAGGAGATCATGTACCTGCGATTATGAGTAGAAGAATATATTCAAATATGGTCCAACTTGACCAAAAATTTAGTAAGTAAAGAACCAATGAAGATAACAATAACAAAAATGTTTCATTGAGTTGGAATATACGCTCAACAGGGTGCGGCTTTGCCGTTAAGAGATTGTGCTCAATGCAATTTGCAACATTTCAGTAAAAGCAGCAGCACAAATGCATGATGATATGCAACAAAACTGCCAGTTTATTATGACGTACTAATAATGATAACGACCTTATGAAAGCCTTCATGTTGTTATAAATGGATCTGCCCTCGCCAACTGCGGCAACTATAGTGCTGAAGTTATCATCCGCTAAGACCATGTCAGAGGCTTCCTTTGCAACCTGGAAAGAATCAAGCAGTGAATGGAGAGGTAGGGGATTGAATAATAAAATAATGCATTCATGAGTTCCTAATAGTTATCTACTCAAGTAACCAAGGAAAAAAGGAGAATGGCTGTTCCGCTAATGCATTATGAATAAACTGCATTACATCAATACATACAGAATATGCTTTCAATTGGAGCTAATAACATATAAATCATTCTGAACTGTCAGGCAAAATGCTACTTTACAAGAATAGTAGATAATGTACAGAAACAAAACAGGGCACAGAAGCATAAAATGAAATAACACAAGAAAAGAGAGATAATCATATGGACACCCTGATGTCGTCCACCAAATTATACAGAAATAAATAATAAGAAAAGGATTATGGGTACCTCTGTCCCAGCAATGCCCATTGCTACCCCAATATCAGCCAACTTCAACGCAGGAGCATCATTAACTCCATCTCCAGTCATTGCAACCACTTCATCATCCTCCTTCAGCAACCTCACTATTTCTTGCTTGTGCCTAGGCTCAGCCCGAGAAAATAAGAGGCCCCCACTCTGTCTCAGGTGATTTTTCTGGTCAGCATAATCCATAAACTCCCTTCCAGTTAAACTTCTTGAACAGATATCTTCATTCAATCCAAATACACCAATTTCACGACAAATAGCTTCTGCTGTGTTCTTGTTGTCTCCTGTGATGACCATAACACGGATCCCAGCTGCTCTGCAGTCCTCAATTGCCTGACGGACCTCTTTCCGAGGAGGATCCTTGATGATTTTTGTTCAAGCAGTTCAGATAAAGGTTGGATATAAGTACAAAAACAGAAAATACAGATACAACAAGAAGCAACTTACCCTCAGCCCAACTAAACCTACAAAAATAAGCTTGCTCTCAATTGAAGAATAACTGGATGGATCGAGTAAAAGCTGATGAGCTGGATGATCTTCATCACCATTATATGTTGCAAACTCATGAAGCTCTTCCTTGTATGCCAAACCAAGGCAACGTAATGCATCTGCTGACATTTCACGAAGACACTGTAAAATAAGATCTCTTGAATATTCATCTAGTTCTATGACAGAACCATCGAGTAGCTGGATAAAAGAGCTCCTCTCCAACAAATTCTCTACAGCACCCTGCAACATTAAGTGAGAACATTTAAGAGTGATACACGAAAGCATCATGTTAAAATCCCAATAGGGCATTTACTGGCAGAAAAAAGAAAAGGAAGCTATTGCAAACCTTTACTAGCAACAACTTTCTTCCCGAGCTGGAATTCACAATAACTCCCATGGATTTTCGATCCCGGTCAAACTCAAGTGTTGCAATCCTTTGCTCCATTTTCTTCCACCATTGACAACAGCCTTGTGTAGCATAATAAAATCAATGAAAAAGGTCAGCATGATCCAGAATTCTCACTCTCACCTAAGGAACAACAAAATTATAAGAAATAAAGCAGCTAACATACGTTGAGGATCCCCATGACCTGACAACGAGGAATCACTCTCTTTAGGAAGCCCCATTTTCTCAACCAGAACCTGGAATGAAAGAACAATATAGGAGTCTTCTGAGGGGAAAAATATGCAACAAGAACTTTCATATACAACGTTGGGTTTATTCAAACAGATGTAGTAGTATACTAAACCAAAATGGATTTAGTTTTAGAAGGAGTTTTTTGACCTTTAGCGCTGCCTCTGTTGGCATTCCGGTGGCAACATAATGATTCCCAGATTGCTCAATGCCAGCATCATTGCAAACAGCAGAAATCTTTGCAATCATTTCAAGATTAGCATCCATTCCATCAACAGGCCAACCTAGTATTTTCCCATCAAAAGGATCATACGTAGTCCCTTCCACATCAAAAGATCGCAGAGTCCCAGACCTTGAACCTATAGCAATAAGCTTTGAAACTGCCATTTGATTGGTAGTCAAAGTCCCTGTCTTATCAGAACAGATAACAGTCGTACAACCAAGAGTCTCGACACTCGGAAGCTTCCGGACAAGTGCATTCTTTTGAGCCATCTTCCGGGTTCCCAGTGCCAAACATGTTGTGATAACAGCTGGTAAACCTTCTGGGATCGCAGCAACAGCCAAAGCCACAGCGATTTCGAAGTAATATGTGCACTTCTCAAATGAGAACTTAAAGTTTCTTGGCACACCATCAACATATTCCCAAGAAAGGAAGTATTTCACATTAATAAGCCAAACCAGTGCACAAATCACTCCAATTATCATTGTTAGAACCTCTCCAAACTGATTCAACTTCTTCTTTAATGGGGTATCTTGTTCGTTCTGTGATGCTTCATGGATCTGTGAATGCACCTTCCCAATCTCCGTATTCATGCCTATTTGGGTGACCAAGCAAATACAGTTTCCATTAACCACTGTTGTTCCAGCAAAAACCATACACTTCTTCCCTTGAATATCTGAATTCTCAGGAACAACCTTCACATTCTTGCTCACAGCTTCACTCTCTCCAGTCAATGAACCCTGTTCAACTCTTACAGTAGAGCTTATCAATCTCAAAACCCGCATATCTGCAGGTACCTTATCACCAACTCTCAACTCCACAATATCACCGGGTACAAGTTCCTTAGCAGGCAAATTTGAGTTCTTACCATCTCGAACTACAT